AAACCCGGGTCCATGTCCACATTTAGTTTGGAGCTGTCAAAGACAAGGTCTAAACCTGCCACCGTCTCCAAAAAACGGGGATTTAAAAACTCTGTTAGCACCGTTATCCATTTCCAGCGACATCTGGACCCATTAGAAGCAGATAAACCAGGTCAGTGTTGTTTCTGCACTCTGGGCTCCACACTGCTGTCCAGCCATGGCTCAGAAACGGTGTCCAAGTAGGAACCAGAACCGCAGTGAGTTGTTATAATAACACGATTTACCAGGATGCAGGTCTATTAGCTTTAGCTTTAGCATGCATGTATGCAGGCATCAGGGTTCTGGGTTCAGAACCAGTCTTGAAGTCTCCAGGTCAACCAGCTAATTAGTTTGATTAACTTGTTACCTACAGCTAACGAAGTAGGACATGAGAAATCCTTGTTTCAGTTTCAAGGCGAGTCAGACGAGCCGGCGTGAAGGAAAAAAGAGAGACAGAACCACTGAAACGAGACGAATGAGGCAAAAAATGACTGCGAGACACAGAACAACCAGATTCAGACACCAAAGGACCAAGATGAGCTGAACCTCCGAAAACGAGACATGAGATGACCAAACCGGGCCCGGTCCAGGTCCTCTGCAGGAAGTTCAATAGAAGTAAATGTAAACACCACCACAGCTGCTGACGTTGTCCCGGTCGGGCATCAGAACCCAAAAGCTGATGTGTTTGGAGTCTCAACAGAGAGAAACAGGTTGTTTAAATGAAGGTTTATTTATGGTTTCATGAGGAACACATTCAGACATGAACACGTGCTCAGTGCTGATTACTGTCACATAGCATGACGTGCTTCTGGACATTTCAACATTTCAATTAAAAAACTGTGTAAAACATTAGAAAAGTGTTCTGTCTCATTCACTGCGTTCACATTTCCTGGCGACGGCCGTGGAGCCGGCGGCGACGGTCCGTCGAAGCCTCCGCGGATCCAGAGTCCTCATTCAAAGGGGTAGTACGGGTGAGACTTCACCCTGAGACACAACGACAGCGTTCACTGGCAGCAGCAGCATGTTGGGTTCAACATTCATCTACTGAGGCCAGAGACGTGGGGATGTGACTGGTGGCTCTACGACCAGACTTCATCTGAACACCACCAGTCTGAACCATGTCACGTCTAAACTCTGACTCAAGATGTCTTCAAGGACATTTTGACTCTTCAGACTTTGAGATTCTACAACATCCTAAAAAGCTGAAGCCTGACTGAGGATCTAGAACGGAGCCTGTCGACGTACTGAACGGAGTTTTTATAGCTTAAAACGTGGATAGTTATAAAGATGACTTAAATTTCAGCTTGACAAATCAAACACGTTGAGATTAATGTATGTATAATGAGAGTTTGTGAGCTTCAGCCTCGTCAGTCAGTCGTGGAAGTTCACCAGATAACTTGTTTTCATGTCTGTGAGCCACTTTTTCATATTAAAGTGTCCTAATGTCTCGTTTGTGTTACTGAGGTTCAGGAAACATCAGTGGTTACCTTCTGCTGTGACGGGTTTGTTGTTAACGAGCTTTTATTCCAGATTTCAACTCCTCCATCATCAGATCATTGATGGACTGTCTGATACGACAGGTTCTGGATCATGATGAGAAACTTCCAGGTTTTTGTCTCTAATAGTTCCTCAGATGTTGTCGGTCAAACAGACTCCGATTTCAGTGTGACAATAAAAAACCACTAAACTTGGATTTAAAAAAAAATGTATCTTGAAAAGTCTTTGACATTTGGAGCTAAACCGTCAGATTCCAGTTTAAATATCTATGGTGTATGTCGTGGCTCAGGTGGTGGAGCGGCGGTCCGATCCCGTCCAGCAGCACCGAGCTGCTGGTGTGTGAATGTGTGTGAACGGTGAATGAGAAACGCTGTAGAGCGCTTTGACGGCCACTCCGGTAGAAAAGACCGTTTAGATTCACCATAACACACGTTTCTAGTGGAGCAGAAGGCTCCTGATGATCTGAGATGGAGAAACTCAGCCGTGACCTGTGAAGCTGTCACCATGACGAGCTGGCAGGAGAACTAGGAGCAACAAGTGGATCTCTGACATGTTCTCTGTGAGATGTTCTGATGACTTACTGCTCCAGCATGCAGGCCCTCCAGCCGCGGTCCAGACCTCTCAGAGCGCTCATGTCCTCGTCAGTCAGGCTGAAGTCGAAGATCTGCACATCATCACAGCCAGTTAGAGGCGGGCAGCGCCAGACGAGCAGCAGAGCGCCGGCAGCTTCTTACCTTGGTGTTCTCCAGGATGTGATGAGGTTTGTCGCTCTTGGGGATCACAGCGACGCCCTGCTGCACGTGATACCTGAGCAGCACCTGAGGACGCACCACAGTTAGCAACGCAACACACACCTGCAGCACTCACACCGACCCACACCGACCCACACCGACCTGAGCGGGACTGTGGCGGTGCTTCTTGGCAATTTCTGCAACGACCGGATCCTCCAGCAGCTTTTCAGGATCAGCGTCTCCTCTGAACCTGCAGCAGGACAAAGAAGCAGAAGTTCATGGTCGCTACACCGGAGCAGCACAACAACACAACATTCAGCAACAACAACACACAGAGCAACCGGCAACGGGCAGAAACACACCACAAAGCAACACAAAGAGACCTGAAGTGAACACAACCAGTCCATGTAGCACAAACAGGAAGTGAAGTCAGATAGGTCCAAACCCGCTGCAAACATACACAACAACATCACAAACCCTCAGAACAACCAGGAGATAAAAAACAGACACAGAGACGAGCCGCAAAACCAACACGAGTGTTGGACAACGTCTGCACGAAGACAAAGCAAGACGCACAAACGGAGGAAAAACATACAAATGAGAGAAACTGAACACAAATGGATCCAGAACATCTGCAAAGAAACACAACAACCAGAAAGAGACACAAACAGACACAACAGTAACATGAAGAAATGGCAAAAATGTTGAGCTGCAAAACAACTAAAAGAAACACAAGCAAATGTAAACAAAAGTCAGAAAAGCGACACAAATCGATGCAAAAACACACAAATTAGCACAAACAAGCAAACTAAAGTAACACAAAGAGACAGAACACAGCGACACAGACACACCACACCAGCACCACACAGAGGAGCTGGTCCTACATCTCCGGGGGTCTGGCCGGCGAGCCGAAGGGGCTGTAGGCGGTCAGAGCGATGTTCTTGGACTTGCAGAAGGCGACCATGTCGGGCTGGACCAGGTAGGGATGGAGCTCCACCTGCAGACGACGACACCAGGTGAGTCAGGAGCTGCAAGGAAGCGGCTATGCTAAGCTAGCTAGCCTTTAGCAGCACCACTTCCTGCATCAGGACTTAAGATTATTGATGCATTAGAATAAGTTCCTGAAGGTGTCTGTGATGCTAAGTTAGCTTTAGCTGAGGCTAACAGCTAGCCTTAAGTGGACTGCAGCGTTAGCATGCTGTTGTCATAGTTACACACCGTCATACGACACTGATGACGTGTTGAGTGCAGACGTGTTTGAGGTTTTTAGGGCGA